CCTAGTGCTTGCTACATTAACTCCCAGGATGTATTCTTCAGTAGTGTTTTGGCGTTTGCCTGGCACTTGAGCGCAGTTCTGACCTCGGCTTTGCAACCTCCACAAAAATAACGCGGCCATCCAAGAACTAAGAGAAAACAAAATAATTAGTCAAATAGTCAATCCTTATGAGCAAAATATGTCACATACTACCTGTTAGGAAAAATCACTTTAATAAAAAATATGAGAATATTTAATTCAAGGCAGCTGTTGAAAAATTTACATAGCAATTCCAAATGTATAAATCAGAATAAGTATGAGTATTTACATGTTCTCCTTCCTTTTCCTAATGATATGAGCCTGGTGTATGATTCTATATGCAAATATGTGGTTATATACAATATTCGAATCCAACAGATAGGTGTCACCTGAATTCCCCTATTATCTGACACCGCTACAATACTCATGTAGTACAAACAAAAGTTTAAAACCGCATGAAGTTCATACAAGCTTATCAAATTGAAAATAAATATCAAATTCAGAAGTATAGTTACTAATTTTATATTTAAAGAAGTGATCCTATTAAATATATATTACTTTTAGTACTTATTTCTATTGTCAACAAAATGTCCATATTTACAATGAAGCGTATGCTAAAGAGTGCAGATATCGATCATTAATTCATTATTATGCATATTTGTAAAAGGACATGATAATTGTTAACTTAGTAGATGAGATAGCCCTTAACAGATCTAAATGGAAGAATGAGATTCGTGTAACTGGCCCTAAAAGTTTTGGATAAAGGCTTTGTTGTCTTTGTTATGAGGATATGAAGCGAATTCAAATATTTCTGATATTCATTTGCACCCTCAAGTCAAATTTATGATTTCCAAGTACATGGTCTTGCACCATTTTGTTCACTGTGATGGTACTTTAGCTAGCCAATTTTGGCAACAAAATGTCCATATTTGCTCCCTTCGGATATGATAATGAAGCATATGTTGAAGAATGCAGATATTGATCATAAATTCATTATTATGAGTACCTGCATAAAAGGATGTGATAATTGTTAACTTAGTAGAGGAGATAGCCCTTAATAGATCTGAATGGAAGAATGAGATTCGTGTAACTTACCCTAAAATTTTGGGATAAATGCTTTCTTGTCTTTGTTATGAGGATATGAAGCGAATTCAAATATTTCTAATATTCATTTATACCCCTCAAGTTAAATTAATGATTTCCAAGTACATGGTGTTAGAAAAACAATATTGAAGGAGACAGAAATTCTGAGGCGTGAAACACTTTCCTTAAAGAAATATTTGCCCCACTTGATATTCAAAGTTGCTTCGGGTTAATGCAAATTTTCTTCCCAGAATACAACAGAAAATGAAAATTCCAGTAAGCGAATCTGGAATTTTCCTTAATTCGTTGTGAAACAAGTTTGTAATATTGCAGAAGTTTTTGATAGAAAAGATTCAGAGAAAGAAATTGTTTTTGATATCTGAAAATATAAACTATTTATAGTTTTGAAAAGGTGCTTCCAACAGTCACAACTTTTCAAAACACCCCTTGGAACAAACAGCCACTTTTCAACAGTCACTTGTCTTTTCATAATTTTTAAAAATTCGAAATAACATTAAAAATAAAATATATTCAATATATAATTATATATATAAAAAATAGAACATTTAAGCGGCAGCGGCAAGCGTGCAAAGTGCTAAGTGCGTCTAATAATCGCGTCAAAATCGCGCATTATTCGCGCTACCCGCACGCGGGTTTAGAAGCCTACACTTTGATCCATTATTCAAAGCCCAATAAGCATTCAATGCTTTTAAACCTCTAAAAGAATGTTCAAAATTCCAATGTGGGACTATCTTGTTTTTTACAAACAAATACTAACAATCCCCCACTTTGTTTGAAAAAACATTTTAATAGTATTATATTTAAAAATAATCTGCAATATGTACAAAATGAGATAAGTATACATATGTAGAGGTATCTTTCGATTTAAACCTTTACTTAGTACAAATACCTCAAAGTTCTATCAAAGTCGTTAGTTGCCTTAACATTAAACTAATTACTCTTTGTGATAGAACCGGAGAATATTGTACATACACTAATCTCTTGTTTCAATGAGAATTAATATTTTAGCACTGTTATGGCCTTGTGCTTATTCCTGGTTCATGAACTCTTTAAAGAACAAACCTTTAGTTCTTTTAAGAAGCGGCACCACTTCTAAGTTCATATAGGTGAAACGTCTACAATGTGTTTTCCATTACTTTAAACACACAACAATAATGTATTAGACTTTCATTAAGAGCATAACTCATCCTCTTATTCCGTAATGGACGATATTGACATTATCTTTTAGGGCTTAATGCGTCAATATCAATCAATCACTTTCAGAAACTTGTTATTACCCATTTAAACCATTTAACCAGTTTAGTTCTAGTAAATGGTTGGGTTACCATTCCTGGTGATTTTAAATATAAGGTTTCAGCCCCATTTCACTTGATGTCATCTTTACTACCTCTCTTGCTAGAGGTTTTGTAAATGGATCAGCCAAATTTTTATTTGTCTTGACATAGACAATAGTTATGACACTATCTTGTATCAAGTGTCTCACATATTCATGTCTTAGACTTATGTGTCTAGACTTACCATTATATGTACAATTATAAGCCCTTGACAAAGTGGCTTGACTATCACAATAGATAGAGATAGGAGGCATTGGACTCGGCCATAACTTAATATCTAGCAATAAGTTCCTAATCCATTCAGCCTCCTTACCAGTTGCTGCTAAAGCAATGAATTCAGATTCCATGGTGGAGTGTGAGATACATGTTTGTTTCTTGCTTGCCCAAGAAACTGCTCCTCCACCAAGTGTAAAAACCATTCCAGAAGTGGATTGGTTGTCTCCAACACTAGTCATCCAGCTTGCATCGGTGTATCCCTCTAATACAGCCGGATAATCATTATAGAACAAACACAGATTTTTGGTTTTCTTTAAATATCCAAAAATCCTGGAAATGCTTTTCCAATGTTCTACACTTGGATTACTAGTGTATCTACTTAATTTGCATACAGCAAATGCAATATCAGGTCTAGTACAATGCATGGCATACATTAAAGAACCAATTGCACTAGCATACTCAAGCTGTGCTACAGCTCTACCAGAATTGGCAGTCAATTTGACACTGGGATCAAAAGGAGTGTTAACTTCTTTAAAACCAAGATGATTAAATTTATTCACTATTTTTTCAATATAATGTGATTGGCTTAAAGAAAAACCCCCACTATGTTTTCTAACTTTGATCCCTAAAATAGTATCCGCTTCTCCTAAATCTTTCATTTTAAACATAGAAGATAGATACTCTTTAGTCTCATTTATGCCAATCATATTAGTGCCGAATATTAACATGTCATCCACATACAAGCAGACAAGCACACCATATTTATCAGTGAATTTAGAATAAATACACTTATCAGCACTATTATGTTTGAAACCATAAGATAGAATAACAGAATCAAACTTTTCATGCCATTGTTTTGGTGCTTGTTTAAGACCATAAAGAGATTTAATTAGTTTACATACTTTTCTTTCATTTCCTGGAAGAATGAAACCTTCCGGTTGTTCCATGTAAACCTCCTCATTTAAATCTCCATTTAAAAAAGCAGTCTTGACATCCATTTGATGCACAAATAACTTATGTATAGATGCCAAAGCAATAAGAATTCTAATAGATGTTATACGTGCGACAGGTGCATATGTATCAAAATAATCTATGCCTTCTTTTTGTCTAAACCCTTTGGCTACTAATCTAGCCTTAAAAGCTTGAACAGAACCATCAGAATGATATTTTCTTCTAAAAACCCATTTACATCCTATTGGCTTTGATCCTTGAGGTAAATCTACTAAAATCCAAGTACTATTTCCCATTATAGAATCCATTTCATCATTGACAGCTTCTTTCCAAAATGAAGCATCTCTAGATGACATTGCTTCTATAAAGGTTTTAGGATCATCATCTGGATTAAAACTTATAGGATGTTTATTTAAAACATTATTATTCCTATCACCTTCAACAAGAAAAATAATTTGTTCAGGAGAAATAAAATCTGAAGGTAAAGATTTCTCTTTTCTTACTCTAGTACTTCTTCTTGGCTCTGATATTTCTTTAGATATATTCGTTTCCTTAGCATGAAAATCAGAACTAGAAAAATTATTAGAGTTAAGCAGAATAGGAACATTTTCAACATTTTCAGAATCTACAGAAAATTTATTTTCAAAGAATTCAACATCTCTAGATTCAACAATAGTATTAGAAGATAAATCAAGTAGTCTATATGCTTTGCTATTTTCAGCATATCCGACAAAAACACTTTTAAAGGCTCTAGGTCCAAGTTTTGTTCTTTTAGGATCAGGAACTCTATAATAAGCCAAACACCCCCACACTTTAAAATATGACAGATTAGGCTTTCTACCTTTCCATAACTCATAAGGGCTTATATTTGACTTTTTAGAGGGAATCCTATTATGAATATAACATGCTGTGTACAAAGCTTCTCCCCATAAATTTAAAGGTAACTTAGCATTATTAAGCATACAATTTATCATTTCTTGTAAAGTTCTATTTTTTCTTTCGGCTAAACCATTCTGTTGGGGAGTATAAGGTGCTGTACATTGATGAATAATGCCATGTTCTTCACAAAAAGTATTAAAATTATCAGAAAAATATTCACCACCTCTATCAGAACGTAATACTTTAATTTTCCTTTCAAGTTGATTTTCAACTTCTGTTTTGTATTTTTTAAACATATCAAAAGCTTCATCTTTTGTTCTTAAAAGATAAACATACATATATCTACTGCAATCATCAACAAAAGTGATAAAGTATCTTTTTCCTCCTCTAGTTAACATACCATTCAATTCACATATATCAGAATGTATTAAATCTAAAACTTTAGAATCTTTGCGAGAAACACTTGGAAAAGATTTCTTTGTTAATTTAGACTTAGCACAAATTTCACATTTATCAAATTCACCATTAAAGTTAATGAAGTCTAACTTTCTCATATTTTTCAAATAGCGAAAATTTAAATGTGCTAAGCGATCATGCCATAAATATGAAGACTCAACAATATAAACAGAAGATATAACTTTATTATTAATACTTAGTTGATACATTCCATCACAAGAGTAGCCCTTTCCCACAAACATCCCGTTCTTAGACAGGATAACATTATTTGACTCAAAAGCAACCCGAAACCCTTTCTTACAAAGAAGATCAACAGAAACTAAGTTCTTTCTAACTTCGGGTACATACAGAACATTTATAAGAGTCAATTTCTTTCCAGAAGTAAAATCTATATCAACAGTCCCTTTTCCAGCAACCTTTGCACAAGCATTATTCCCCATTTGCACTTCTGTAATTTCCGAAATTTCTTCAAATCCTTTGAACAAGGATTTGTCCTTGCAAACGTGGATTGTTGCTCCAGAATCAAGCCACCATCCAGACTTAACAGAAGCCATATTGATTTCAGAAATCATAGCGACCAGATTCTCTTCTATCATATTTGCAGAAGCCTTTGATTTTACATTATTATTTTTTCTGTGACGACATTCTTTAGCAAAATGTCCAGGCTTGCCGCAAATAAAACAGGACCCCTTTTTCTTCTGAAAATTCTTCTTTTTAAAGTGTTGTCCACTTTTCTTTACTTGAAGGTTCACATTTTTTACCGAAGATTCATTCTTCTCCACGGTGTGGACCTTACAATCACTTTGGACAGAATTTTTCGAATCACGTATGCGTGACTCCTCTTCAATTCTAAGATTCTTCTGAAGTTGTTCCAAAGAGATATCCTCAGTTTTATGCATTAGTTTCTTCGAATAATCTTTCCAAGTTGATGGTAGTTTTGCAATAATTGCAGCAACTTGAAAAGACTCTGGAAGAACTATTTTGAGAACATGAATCTTATTAACCAGAACCTCCAATTCATGAACTTGCTCTAGGACAGACTTGTCATCAACCATTTTATATTCTAGATATTTTGCAATTAAATACTTGTTTGTACCTTCCTCCTCGGCTTTGTATTTAAATTCCAGTGCGTTCCAGATCTCCCTTGCCGACTTTATCCTCGTGAAAAGATCATATAATCGGTCCGAAAGTGTGTTCAGAATGTGACCGCGACACAACACTTCATCTTCCTCCCGTTTTGCCTTCTGCTTTTTGATTTCTTCTATTTCCTCCTCAGTAGGTTGTTTGCCATCTGCACTTGGTTTTGGATCTTCTATGGGCTGCAGATTGGGGTTGAGAATGTAGGAGATCTTCAATGCTGTAAGAAGAAACATCATCTTGTCTTGCCAGCGAGAGAAATTGTTCCCGTCGAATCGGTCCAATTTGACCATGTCTTGATTCATCACCTTGATTGATTCCGACTCCATTGTAGCTTAAATATTTCTTTAAGATTGTTAGTTTTAATATTGAAGGAGACAGAAATTCTGAGGCGTGAAACACTTTCCTTAAAGAAATATTTGCCCCCACTTGATATTCAAAGTTGCTTCGGGTTAATGCAAATTTTCTTCCCAGGATACAACAGAAAATGAAAATTCCAGTAAGCAAATCTGGAATTTTCCTTAATTCGTTGTGAAACAAGTTTGTAATATTGCAGAAGTTTTTGATAGAAAAGATTCAGAGAAAGAAATTGTTTTTGATATCTGAAAATATAAACTATTTATAGTTTTGAAAAGGTGCTTCCAACAGTCACAACTTTTCAAAACACCCCTTGGAACAAACAGCCACTTTTCAACAGTCACTTGTCTTTTCATAATTTTTTAAAATTCGAAATAACAAATTTTTAAAATCCGAAATAACATTAAAAATAAAATATATTCAATATATAATTATATATATAAAAAATAGAACATTTAAGCGGCAGCGGCAAGCGTGCAAAGTGCTAAGTGCGTCTAATAATCGCGTCAAAATCGCGCATTATTCGCGCTACCCGCACGCGGGTTTAGAAGCCTACACTTTGATCCATTATTCAAAGCCCAATAAGCATTCAATGCTTTTAAACCTCTAAAAGAATGTTCAAAATTCCAATGTGGAACTATTTTGTTTTTTACAAACAAATACTAACACATGGTCCTGCACCATTTTGCACAAATGAGAATTGAAGTGTTAATATAGTGAAGGCAATGGACTAAGTGTAACATTGGCTAGCCAATTTTGGCAGTGGATCAAGCCAAACAACGTGTTGCGCTCAATGAGTCCTACGACTTACATTACATCAATGGGCTTGCGGGTCCAGGGCGGGGCACATTCTTTTTTATTTTATTATTTTATTTTATGTTCTTATTTATTTATTGTGAATTGAAAATCACTCACAACCACAAAACCCAATTCCTCTATTATCAAAAAGATTGAAATTCGTATGCCATGTTTGGAGGTATCCCCACACTGATTAGAAAGTAGAAGGAACTAAACAATATTATTGGTAATTCCATTATTATCATGACAGGACGATCTATTCTACAATTACAAGCAACCAAAGAGACCCCTGATCACTTCAGTGTAGGTGTCCTTACATATTTTCGTAACATGTTCAATATTGCTAATCTAAAAAGCACTGATAACAGATTTAACATGTTTTGGATGCTTGGATTTTAAGATATTTGATATTGCTAATCTAAAAAGCACTGATAACAGATTTAACATGTTTTGGATGCTTGGATTTTAAGATATTTGATACTTCGTGGATATTCTCTATGCATCCATTTTAAGATATTTGATACTTCGTGGATATTCTCTATGCATCCCAAATTTAGCTGTATTCAAACACAATCAACAAATTAGCAAGTAAAAAGGGAAAGCAAACTTAAAAATCTATTAAACATGTAAAGTTGTCTACCGATAATTTTTAGATATATTTATAAGTATATATAGTTTGCTGTCTTTTTTAACAGGATAGAAGTTTTCAAGGAAACATTATTATAGAATTCGTATTATAATATTAAAAGCCATTTGATGTTTTATTCAAAGCCATTTGATGTTTTCAACGATACTTTTGTTAAATGTAATTGCAATAGATTTGATCTTTTTTATCTGTATATGTAAAACATTTGATGTTTTATTCAAAAATTTATACATGTTTACAGGAGCATATATCAGATCATATATCACAGTTGTCAGGTAAAATGTCAAGTTAAATGATTAACAGATCCATAATGTTGAACTTCACAACTATATACATTACTTGAAGGGATAAGCAAGAGATTTAACTATTTGTGTTAAGAGTTTTAATTATCTATGTTTCTATGTTTAAATATGGACTTCAAGTATATGATGAATTGCAAACAAATACCTATCTGCATATCCTAATTGGTTATATATGATGGACTTCAAGTATGTTTAAGATAAAATGTCCTTGGCCTTCTTCTTCCTTGCAATTATCTTTTGGTTTAAATTAATGAAGTTTTGAGTATGTCTCCATCTACAAGTGAGTGTGTGAATAATAAAACAGAAAACCACATTCAAGATAGGGTGTATTATGTACTTTACATTATCTTCAAGTATTTGAAAGAACCATGTCAAAGTAAATTCATATCATATTACATGTAACCATTTTTCAATTCTACAGAGAACCTGTTGTATAATTATGTTTATATAATAGTAAAAAAAACTGATAGCTCGCACAAACTTACTTTTGTGGACAGATTTAATATCCTTGGCAGAGTCTAAGGGAGATCAGGAATATGTATTAGAGATAAGGTTTGCAACAAAGTTATTAGAAAGTACCTTTCCATGCATTCCTTCAATTGCACTTTGAGACTCCTCCGCGGTGGCATAACGAAGAAAAGCAAAGCCTCTAGGTCTATTTGCTATTCGATCCATCACAAGGTTAACTGAAAAAAAATAAGAAAAAAGGTGAAATCACAAGCGAATTCCTTGATAGATTGATGTACAGAAGTCATAACATTATTAACCACCCTAGCCAGTTTTCTTACCTTCCACTAGTTGTCCGAAATTTTGGAATGCATTTCTTAGGCTTTCCTCAGTTGTACGGAAAGAAAGACCTGTAATTGCAAACAACACAGTAAATAAAAACACACCAAACATATGGGTATTGCAATCTCCCATCTTCATGTGTACATCTAATTTACGAACAAAAACACTTGGCAAAGCAAACAGTTGCGGTCTTGTTCTTTTGAAAATTACATGCAGTACCAAAATGAAAAGCATCTGAATTACTTAAAGTCCACCAAACTAAAATATAACTTCTCCCTGAATTTTGACAAAGAGATTCAAACATTTAGCAAAACACAGATTCTCCAAGTTACTTATGCATAAGCACAAATATTTCTTCTTTTTCAGAAAAAACCATAATATGCTTCTCCAAGTATGTAGCGGGTTTTCAGCGAACAACCATTATACCAATTTATCCTAGTTTAGCTTTTATGTTAGTCTATGTCCTACAGCATATCTCGTTCTCTTTATCAGACTTTGCTCATTATCTCTAGAATTAAACTTCTTTACGGATCAAATGAAAGCTTTTGGAAGTGCAGGTCTAATCCCAAGCCCTTCAATCACCAAAATTTTCATCATTGTATCAAAGAAAGTAATCCCAGTGTCAGAAAATTGACAAAACTCAACCTATATACTTATATTCAGCCCAAGTAATGAGATATCATAACCTTGTTAAACCCACATTCCCAATTTGAAATTACTTAAATAAAATTGCAAAATTTATGAAAATAAAAAAGCGAACCAAGATATTGAAATTAAAAAAGAGAAACCAAGGAGAAGAAATTGATACCGCTGACGTAGAGCTTGGTTGAGAGAGGAGAAGCAGAGCCCTTGGGAGACGAAGAAGGGAGGCAAGAGATCACAGTGAACCCTCGACCATGATTTAGTAGTGATTGGGTTTTGGTGCGAGAGTGGAAAAAGGAGGGTGAGGATAAAATGGGTTGATTTGCTCTTGATTTTGTGGCTGTTGAGGTGAGAGATTGTGATGAGAGAGGAGGAAGAATGGGCGTAAGTGCCGCCGTCGCCATCGCGTTGGCCTCGGTTCAAAGGTTGAAGAAGGAAGAGTTTCGGATAGGAATTTTTTTTAAGAAAAAGACCCTTTTTGAAACTTTATTAGCAAAATCAACTAAATTTGTGGATTTAATTAGCAAAATCGAGTCGATTTTGGAAAGATATAATTCTTAAAATACACGGGACTAGTAGTCTCATGTAATTGGTGTTGATTAATCACATACTAATTAAACTTTAAAAATACGCGAGACTAATTGAACTTCATTAGGGTGTAATCAGGCACCACTAAATACACGGAGCTAGTAGTCCCGTGTATTTTTAAAACTTCATTTTTGTAAAATCCACATCTTTTTAGCTCAATTTTGGAAAATATAATTCTTAAAATACACAGGACTAGTAGTCTTATGTAAACAGTGTTGGCTAATCACATGCTAATTAAACTTTAAAAAATATATGATACTGACTAAACTTCATGAGGGTGTAATTAGGTATTACTAAACATACACGACTAGTAATCCCGTGTATTTTAAAACTTTATTTTTACAAAATTGACCTCCTTTTTAGCCAAACCAAAAATAAATCGATTTTGCTAATTATGTCGAGAATAGATCGATTTTGCTAATAAAGTTTTAAAAATGATCTTTTTAAAAAATTCTCCTTTCAGATAACTAGTTTCTAGTCTCAAAAGGAAAATTATATTTCGCCCCCTGAAAAAAAATTTCACAATTGTTTTCATCATTGTTCATAATTGAAAGGAATCAATAATAATCGTTTTTTTCTCTCACGTGCGTAGAATTTCTTCTGAATTGTAGAATCGTTTTAGGTTCGTTACATCCATATTATAGAACTTTTAACATTAACTATAAAAACTTTGAGAGTGAAGGATTCTTTAAAGGGATAAATGGACTGGATATTGATCTAATAAGATAAGAGGGATTTTTGGACATTGGTAGCTTAAATCCTTTGTTTTTAAAATTTGTCCCTCAAATCATTGAAATTGCTACTATGCCCCTCAGTTCTTAAGTTATTTTGGAAATTAGTCTCTCCAATCAAGAGTTAAAGTAGCAATTAGAAGCATTAATTTGAAACAACTTATGAAAATTTGGGGACATAACAGCAATTTCAATGATTTGAGAGACTGGTTTCAAAATAAATTAAGAATTGGAGGACTTAATCACAATTTCAAGATATGGGGGCCTGATGAAAATATGAAAGATTTAAGGGACTAATAACAAGCAAGCGAAGAAGAATTTTTCGGTTAGAGCCCTTTAATCAACGATCATGGATTAACCTTTTTATCCTCTTTAAAGTATTTTCTTACTCAATTATAGAATCTTTTGAGTCTCATTATGTTTGTATTGCTGAGTTTCTAACATGAAGTAGAAGAACTTCAAAGGGTGAAATAGTTTATAAAGAGGTTAAAGCGCTTGATCATTGACTCAGGGACCTAAAAATCATAGAAAAGAGTAGACGATCTCTATAACAATTTTTCTTTATTCCAGAAAACTTAGATCGCCCCAAATTTGAAATGCAGTTGTTCTCTCAGTTATAGCATATTAGCAAACTGAAATTTTCTGTTTCTTGATTAATTTCTCTGATGTATCTAAATGCAATTAGCATCAATATTTTAGCTGGTAATTTAACCAAAACTTTACTATATTATTTACTGTACAACTGAAGTAGGCCACATTTTGGTACATATTAACCAAAACTTAACCTGTTAAAGCTCTGTAACCCTTCATTCTAAAGAGAAAATAACTCAGTTATCTATCTTGTTTCTGTTCAACGTCACAACCCTTCCAACATCATACTTCAAGTACACTCTGTTCTGATTCTCCTCCCACCATTGCTCAGCTTCTTTACCGCTAAATCTCCTTCGACTGCATTATGAAAAACAAATATTTTTTTTACTGTAAGTAAAATATTAAACGAATTAACTGTTTTGCAATTGCAATTATCTGATCAAAGGTTCAAGAGTGAAAGGGGAGAAAAAAAAACTTTAGTTTGAGATGAATAATAGAAATGCCCCCTGAAATATGAAGGTGTAATCACTCTTACTCTGCGAAGGATTTTTATTAACAGTGACCACCCATAAAACTCAGATGGTGTTACTTTCTTGGCCTCAGGCAATTTACTCTTTTTCTTTCGGCCTCCCAATTCTTAAGTTATTTTGACATTAGTCCTACAATCGTTGAAATTTCTATTAGGGCCCCCAGTTCTCGTAAGTTGTTTCAAATATAATCCCTCTAATTGTTACTTCTACTCTTGATTTGAGCGATTAATTTAAAAATAACTTAAAGAGTGATTAATTTAAAAATAACTTTAAGAATTGGGGCACTAAATAGCAATTTCAGTGATTTGAGGGACTAATTTCGAAAAATGGAACATGTAACGGACTAATATAGAAACCCCTTTTCATTTGAGCTAACCTGAAGACGAAAGGTAATATATCATCATGCGATTTCTACATGACATCTGACTTCAATGTAGCTTGGGGGTGTAAGTGCTAACAAATAGTTTAGGAAAAGGGAGCGTAGCTGCATTAGCTCCAGAAATAATTAATAGAATCTTTACCTGAATCTTACACGCTTGAGACCCTTCTGACCATTTGCCAAAGCAATGAACGTAATGTACACACCGGGTTCTTCCTGCTCAACCCATTCATCTCTTGATGCTTTTGTAGCTCTTTGTCTCGTATTTTCTACTGTCATTGCATCTTTTTGCTGCTCGAGTGTTGTTTTTCCTTCGATATTAAGATTTGAGGATGGTATTGACTCTGATACCTCTCTGTGCACAGGCCGAGGAGTGGGTACATGTATTTTGTCATCAGGTATAGAGTTTATCATATTCATTTGTGTTCCTGTTGAGAGTTTCTCAGATAATGCATTGATCTGTAATAAAATATACTTCATTAGTAAATTAATGAATAAATATCGACAAGCTTAATTTGCTCACAAATTGAAAGTTGGGATATTTTTGTTGCATTTTGTGACTTAATTTTCATCATTCAGGTTTACCCAAGTTTTTCTAGAACATCTTCAACTTGGTTGCATTATTTTGATCCTGTTCCTTTCCATTTGCAAGAATCTCCTATTACGATTTAGGTATGTTCCCTATGAATACTTCTTTTAAAATAGAAGACTGTGTTTTCACATGGTATCATTATTTTGCACCCACCACCCCTGTAGTTTCATTGTAGTGAATATTTCCCCTGGGTTAATCATTTGACTCTATTACCACCCATGGTGAAATTTAGGCAGATATTGCCCCTGGGTGAAATTAATGAAGTCTGTCTGAGGGTAAAATAGTCAGAATTTTTTTTAACCCAGAGGATCTATCTGCAATAATGAAGCTTAAGGGGCAGTGAATTAAAAACAACGATACCACAAGGGGTCTATGCACAGTTAACCCTATAAATTTTCCATACATGCTGAGTTAGTATGAAGCAGTTTAATGACTCATTTATGTGTATTCTAGTTCCTTCAGTGATACATTGAAAAGTCTGCTCACCTTTTCCTCTTTATTGCACAATGCTGCCTTATGTAATTAAGCATGCGATGAAATCATAGCAACGGAGAAAACTATTTTGCTCATACCTGATTAGTTAGAATTTTAATGACATCTCTTGCTGCTTTGCAGTTCGAAGCTTCATCCCTTGCCAATGCCCAGGTCTCGTTAATTCTTTGTTTATTCTGGCAGAGTTTCAGACTCTTTGCTTGACACTGTTCATCAAGGAGAATTGCCTGTCAGTTAATTCCCTCAATAATCATTTTCCTAAGAAAATGTATTAACTCAAAATGTATGTTGAAGTACATTATAAACAATGTAGAAAAAAATTTAAGGAGTCAAGAAAATAAGGAACATTATCCAATAAAAGACATACAGATAAACATACATAGATATATATGCGTGATTTATGACCACGTCCATGCCTGAGTATTTGCTAAATGCGTATATTAGGGTGTAATTTTCATCTGAAAATCCTTACCAAAGCAATGGATTGTTTAATTTGACAATCTATACCTCTGAATTTGACCTCAAACATCTGTAGTTTTATAAACATAACAAACATATCCTCTGTATGCAAATTTCCTATATTAGTTATCGCTAATACTAACAAATGCCTCGCTTCTAGTAATAAATTGTGCTAAACCAGTATGTTCTCTATATTAAATCTATGGAATTTACAGAACATGAAGAAAATTTAAGATGACCCTATTGCAAGAACAAGAAATACAATAGTAATAAATTGTGCTAGACCAGTATGTTCTCTATATTAAATCTATGGAATTTACAGAACATGAAGAAAATTTAAGATGACCCTATTGCAAGAACAAGAAATACAATTGTGGTGTGGCATGGAAGGTGATAATCTGAATTAACTAATTGAGTGGCTGTTTGACTTTATATGAAAAATAATACACATTTAATGACAATACCAGATCATGATCATGAAAGAGATTGCATCGAACCTGCTAGAGTAATTATATGCATTTAATGAGTACACATGAATCTTTAGCATTATCTATGAAATGAAATAATGAGAGAGAAATAACTAACAAACCGTATCTCTATATAATGATAGTAATAACATCTAATAGAAGGTGCAATTACCTCATATTGTAGACGTTTTAATTCTTCGGAAAGCATCTTCTCTATTTCAGTCAAGTCTTGTTTCAAACTGCTAGCTTTGGGAAGTAAAGGCAACGATAATGACTGCTCAATTCGAGAATGAGCATGATTATTCTCTTCCCTTAACACTGGAACAAACAAGATAGGATTTTCGCTAGATTGCCCACTGAATTGAGAAGGGCATGATACCTGGCCCCATCTCTGATCTTTGCCTATGACATGTGGAAATGATTGCTCACATTGTTTCTTTTTTCCTTGTAAAGATGATGCTTTCCTTTGAATTAATTTGATTTCCTCCTCATTTGAAACTTTAGGAGAAAATATTCTTGGTCGACCAAGCAGCGATTCTTCCCTTCTTAACACTGAATCGGAAAAACCCTTTAATTTCGTTAACGGTTTCGGACTTATAAGTTGTTCATCAATTCTAGCTTTCAAACTCTTTTCTAACTGAGCAAAGCACGAATCACAAACACGATACTTCTTGATTTTCTCCGGTGCCAAAGCTGCATTTGAAGCTTTTTTACTGCTACAAGAATGGCAAAACACAAACCCGCAGTTATAGCAGTTATGCTTCTTTCTAGTGAAACCAAAGATCATGTGACATCTACTACATACTGACTGATCCTTACTAGAAATAGATTTATGAGAACAAATTGCCGAAGTAAAATTAGATCCACATGCAACACTAAGTACATTTCTATCTTCTAATGCCTCAATTAACACCGGATAATTTCTATCCCTTGTATCTCCTAATCCAAGCCTTCCATTTTCTCCTCTTCCCCATGTATAAACTTTCCCCTTTGTCGTCAACGCCGTTACATGAAATGAACCTGCTGAGATATCTTTGACAAATTCACTTTTAAGGCATCCTTCAACGGTTGAAATCGATCCATCTCTAGCGTGAGGATTCCCCAGTTGTCCATAAACTGCACTTCCCATTGTAAAGACTATACCAGTAACTGTCAGTGCAACGGTTAGAGTTCTTCCACAAGACACTTGAATAAAATCACAATCCACGAGAGAAGCTACACACGAAGGCAGAAGCTTCTTTACCATATCTAAATGACCTAATTGCCCTTTGTCACCATCACCCCAAGTAAATAATTTTCCACCAGGAGTGTTGCTTTTTGTACGGCCAGTAATAACCTCGACAATGGCAGCCGTATGCCAAGGCCCACAGGCTACAGACTTTACTCTTAACCCTTTTAATGATTCTACTAGTTTCGGTTTATGAACATTTTTTACATTACCGTGGCCAAGAACTCCAAATGTTCCATCCCCATAAGTAAATAACTGCCCATTAGAGGAAATAACGGCAGTATGCCACTCTCCACAAGAAACTTTTACTATATTTATTTCATCTAAAGGACCGAGTATTTTTTGAGGAAACCATTGGTTTCTCCTGCTATCACCCCATGAATAAACCTCACCAATATTCGATACTGCACATGTGTGATTTGATCCACATGAAATTGTTTGTATATGGATGCCCTTAAGTGAGTCAATAAGTTTCGGGTATGATACATTAACATTGATCTTGTGTCCCAATTTCCCCCCATTTTCTTCACCCCAAGAAAAGACTTCTCCTTGTTTAGTGACCAATGCAGCATGACTCTCCCCACAAGAAATGGTTTTCACTTCAAGCATTCTAGTGGATTGCAATAATCTCGGGACTAAAGCATCGAATTTAGAATCATCGTTCTCAAGTTTATCAAGCTCATTACCGAGGAATCTTCCTATTCCTTCTCCCCACATGAAAACATCCTTCAAAGTATCAGTTTTGTCCACAGACAGAGATTCATGCATATGTAAGCTTGTTTTAGACATCAAAATTTTGTTTTGTTCCTTGAACAAATCGGAATCCTTTGGCTTTCGAAAACTCTCAGAAAGCGCATGAGGTACTTGGGGTTGCATTTCATCTAGTATGGGTTGCATATCTGATAAAGTTCTTTGTTTTAGAGGATGGTACATATTAGTGGAACCAAACATACTATCTGAAAAGAATCTCTCTAGTAGTGATCGAGGAGGACTTCCATACAAACTTTGTACCTTCAAATTGAGAAATGCAATGGAGACATCAGAAATAATTAAGGAGATTCACAACAGAGGATTAAAATATTTGCAACTGAATTTTTTTTTTCTAAACGTTAATTAAAAGGGTAAATTACACAAAATATCCTAAACTTTGGGGTATTTTGCAAAAAACTTTTCTAAACTTTGTAAATCAGAGAAAACTCCATGAAATTTCAAAATAAATAGACCCTCTTCAATTATTGGAATTGTCACAAATGGCGTCAACGTAAAGGGCAAAAAGTCTAAACTGCCTTTATTAATATCTATCTATCATAATCCGAAAATTTCTCTTAGTGCAACTAAAAATTACACAAGGGAATTTTTTTTCAAAATATGTCACATTTTAGCAAACCAACTCCCATCAAGGGGCATTGTGCACAATAAGTTCAGGAGGTTTCCTCTAATTTATAAAGTTTAGGGAGGTTTTGTGCAAGACCCTCCAAAGTTCATGGGGAGGTTTGTAAAAATTAACCCGAAGAAAAAAAGAGGATTATCAAATCTACCTTTGCGAATTTAGGTGAATCTTCAAGAACTTCTAGTCGATATTTTCTCCGAGCATGAGCAACTGGACTGCTCGTGCAACTTTGGACACCTCTGCTAACTCTTGTTAACGGTCTCGGGTGAAATGATACGGATAACAATGTTGTCAAGCCTAAAAACCAAGATTCAGCCTGCTCCCTATCTTTACATATCTACACAAAAAAAAAAAATTGAAGGGAAACGATGAAATCAACAATCTGCACATCTTAAGACTATAATAGATAATTTCTCGAAAAGAAACAGAAATAGTACCAGGTCAAGGGACCGTGCACCGTTCTGATAAATAAGTGAAAAGGATTGAGACTCTTTTTCAGGTTGAGATTGCCGCAGAAAATTCACCTGTAGAATAGTGTAAATTTGTAACTAAAAAAAACTAATTACTTTGACAAGCAAGTTAGCAATTATGAACAAATACATACAGTCTTCTGTCCAAGGACTATCTTGGATACAGACTTCAATTTCAATTGTTTTTCCTTCTCTCCAGAGTACCAAATCAAAACTTTCTCATCCTGAAAACATAAGAGAAATTACTTTGAGTTGCTACGTATTGAGTATAAATATGAAGAAATTAACAAACAGTTGCATATCTAAATTTGAAAATGTTTTTGATTTCAGATTTCCTCATAGTTTCCATCAAATAGTAATAAAAAAATCCAAAAAAATGCTATAAAAATAAAACCAAATGGATCAAATCTACAAGACCTTGCATAAGTTTCTAAGGTAGCAACAGTTGAACTGCCAACGTGTTATAATCCACTGTAAATTTATTTGTTACACAAATAATATTTAGTGATACTAACCGTGGAGAGCCTAAAAGGACGAAATTTGGGCTTTCCTCTTCTTCCACATTTCAAAAGATGCGCACCCTTCTTCAAAGAGACAATGGCCTAACCAAAAGAAACAGTTAGTTCTGCAAATATGAAAAAAATTTGAACATAAAAGAGGAAAACTAGAAATTATTCGAAACTAACAGGACAATAGATTTTGGAAGAAAAAAAACATTTGAAGAAGTCAACACCTTCCCTGAATAGGGATGATCCTTCTATTTTCTTTGGCTGCAGAGCCTTGAGTCTGAGACCACAACTTTGTTTGAAGAATTTTTTTTTTAATCCTTTTTTGCAAATTTCACACAACAAGACAACCAAATTGTAAATGAGCTATATTAATTTTGTGTGAAGAGAAAACAGGGAAGTTGAAGTAAAATCTGTCCCCAATGAAAATTACTCCATCTTCCCAGAGAAAAATTAAAGGAAAAAAAAGATTCATTTACAACCAAAAATAGCTCGATATAAAAATTGTACAAACTCATACCCTCTAAATATTTCTGCTGCACATTCTGAGCAAATGCCAGAGGAATACACTCATAAAACAAACAAATTTACACTAGAAACCAATAGAAAAGAACAAAGGCTAATGCAGTAGAGTTAAAAATCCAAGAACAATTAGCCCAATTCCAGAATATGCTCTTTGTGACATAAAACCCAAAGCTCTGCTCATGATTCATCAACAATAAGGAATGACAATATAAATAAAACCCATAACCCAAATCATAGCCTTAACAAAATAAATGGCATAAAATTAAGAAAAAAACTACCCCAAACCATGAAATGGGTATATGCTAAAAAATGCTAATAAAAATTGGAACAGAGGACAAACCTGCTCAACTCCTCTATCCAATGGAGCTCTCCTCATAGATTTCTCAGCCATCTTCTAATATTCTCCAAAGCTTGGTCATAAAAAGAACGAAGTGAAATAAAGAGGAAACAAAAGCAAAAGCAAAAGCAAAAGAAGAAACAAAACAAGGGACAAAGAGCAAGATTAAGGAGTTAACAATGCGAGCTATTTGCTATAAAAAGGAAAACACAGGAGCAATTAAATCAGACCGAAGCAGGGTCAGAGGAGAAGCAACAAAAATGGAACACAATGAAAAGTAGAAAAAATGGGGAATTTTTCTTTATTTTTTGCTAAAAAGAAGGGAGAGTTTCAGGCATGCACTGGTTTTCTCTGAGTTTTTTGCTTTCTCTTTTGTTACTTCCAAAAAAAAAAAAGAAGATTTCGTTCTGATCAGAAATCTAGGCCCTTCGTTGGGCTTATACTGTTCTCCTTGAAAACTGTAGAGAGATAGAGAGAGAGAGAGGAGAGAGAAGAGCACGTGTGCTCCGATTGCTGTTGAGGCCGCTTGTTTAGTTGGAACTTGTTACTTGTTGTTTGTCTAAGTTAATCTTGTCCTAAATCTAATTAGAGAAATTTATGGAAAAACACCCTTTGTTATCAAAGTTTGGCAAAGAAACCCTGTTGTTGTGTAGAAATTAACGGAAAGCCTTTTATTCTATTAAATTCAGGAAAAAAAATATCATATATTATATTTAGTTTTTTTCATATTAGTCTATTAAATATTTATCTTTTGAAATTAATCCCTCGAAATGTTGCAATTTGGTCAATAAATTCTTGGTTCATTTTGAAATTAGTCCCTCAAATCATAAAAATTTCTAGTAGGTCCTTTAATTCTTAACTTTTTTTTGTTGAACTTAGTCCCTCCATTCAAGAGTGGTAGTAACAATTGGAGGGATTACTAATTAAAAAATATTTTTGTGGACTATTAGCTCCTCCAGTTCTCTTGATTTTTTTTCAAATTAATACCTCCAACACCTATTACTATTACTGAATGAAGGGACTAATTTCACATAAGTCAGAAATTGATGGATCTAATAGCAATTTTTATGATTTGAAGGACTAATTTTAAAATATGAAAGATTTAAGGAACGAATATGGTAATTCAATAAAGGAGCGATTTGTTAAAAGAGGTGCAGCATCCTCTACCTCCATGGGTGAAGATTTATATTTTTTAGACTCCTTACCAAAATTTCTGTGTTTGCCAATTGCCCGCTAGACTAAATTTTAACCATCACATTTAAAAAAAAGGCATTAAGGAAAACTAGCTAGTTACTCTATTTTAGAATGAAGAATAACTAAATGTTTAGTCTATTGGGCAATATTTAGTTTAAAAATTGTTGTCGTTTTTGGTGTCTCAAAAAATGAGATTATGTTTGTTTTTTTATCAATTAAGAATTATTTCTTAAATAATCTAAAGATATAGATTAGTGAATTCATCATTTTGAGGGTTTAATTCATTTCAACTAGTCTAAAAAAGTTATATCCGTTAACACTTCTTTATTTAATAAATTAAGATGGGTTAATTTCCTTTATTTCATGCTTAATTTGTTGGTAGGTTCTCCTCAGTTGTCACTTTAAGTGAAAAGAAGCTATAATATATTGCTAACCGAGGTATTTTAGTGAAAAAATAATTTATTCATATTTTCTTTACGTTAAGGGGGTTTTGTTGAAAACCCACAAAATTAGGGCGGGTTCTATGAAATTTACCCAATTAATATAGAGGATTAATAGGATTTCTTTGTTAGTAAATGTATAGAGAAGTCCAATAGTACTAATACATCTCTTCACAAGAAAGTATTTTCTCTAAAGGGCTGTTTGGTGCAATTTTTATTAAAAAAAGGAAAAGAAAATGTACTCAAAATTTGATTTCCTTATATTTCTATAAAATTTGTAGGAAAAATTAACTCAAATAGTAATATATTTTTTGTTTGGTTCAAAATATGAAAAAGTTCCTAATTTTATAGAAAATATGTTGTTTTCTTTTTCTTTTGTTTGGTTTGATATCACTTTATAGAAAATAAATTATTAACAATGCCCATGGGAAATCACATAGGGAATGGTACTGGTGGACTTAATTATTTTTTAATATATGTATCAGGTCTCTAGATAATTTCCTCTCATTTGGAGAGGAAGTTGATTTCCATAAAATACCCCACTTTTCCCTACTTTTTAGAAAATAAATCTATAAATTTTTTTGAACCCAATTAATGTAGAGAATTAATAGGATTTCTCCGTTTAGTAAGATGTATAGAGAAGAGAAATGATAGAGGCACACTCTCCACCACACCTCCCCTCCTGCTACAGTACATCGTGACCCACTTGAGATTTAAAATTTAAATCTCAAATGGGCCACGGTGAACTGTAGCCAGAGGGGAGGTGTGGTTGGAGGTGTGGTGAAGAGTGTGCCTCTAGTAGCTCTCTATTGAGAAATCCTATGCTACTTGCACATCCCTTCACCAATTTTTTTTTTTTTTTTTTTTTTTTTTGGGAAAAAAAAAAAAAATTTTTTTTTTTTTTTTTTTTTTTTTTGAGAGAAACCAAAAAAGTATTTTTGAATGGGAAATTGCTAATGATAGCTGTTCGGCTTTGACTTGACTCTATATAACGTCCCTTTGAGTAAAGTGTTAGGGTGCCCGTACTTCAAATACGTCTGCATGGGGATTTCATATATTATTTTGTGGACCATTGGATGGCTGAATCACCAGCTGATAGTGTCTCTTTCTTGTTTCGTTTTTTTTTTTTTTTTACCTTCCTTCAGGGATGTCTCCTCCTCCGAGATCTGTGCTCAGTTTTAGGGACCCGACATTGCCAGTGAGAAAGCAAATCTTGAAACAGTTGACGGTTCAATTTCTTTGTTTATTTTCTATATCTTTTGGTTTTCAGTTACAAACGCCTTGATAAGAGTTTGATTCGGTTAACATTGCAACTCTCCCTCAAATCAGTTTAGTTCTGATCAAAAGGGTAGACCGAAACAAAATCAGTTTAAAGCTAAAATCCAGCCTAATGAAACCGAATAAAGTCCTAATCTAAGTTTTTTTAAGAAATTTGCAAAATATACCTATTTTACTAAATATTTAGCAAAACAGACCGTTTTGCTAAATATTTAGCAAAATAGGTCTCTTTTTCGCCAACAGACCAAAAAGAGGTCGATTTTGCTAAACAGATCATTCTAAACATACGGGACTAGTAGTCCCGTATGATTTAATGAGGCATTAAATCATGCGAGACTACTAATCACGTATGTTTCGAATGATCTGTTTAGCAAAATCGACATCTTTTTGACCTGTTGGTCAAAAAGATGTTTATTTTGCTAAATATTTATCAAAACGGTCTGTTTTGCTAAATATTTAGCAAAATATGTCTATTTTGTAAAATTTTCCTTTTTTTTACCTTGGCCAAACTAGTTCAAATTGTCCTAAAATTCAAAGCACACAACCAGGGTGTGAACCGTCCAATTAAGAAGCAAAGCGATTACTAGACTCCACGGTGCTAAACCATTTTTGTACTACAAGAAATAAAGCCGTAACGAAAAAGCATCAACATTCTTAATTACACTTGGATAGCCTGAAATTAAACTGCTATGACATTCCAAGGGGAGTGGATTTTTGCGTACATATCCAGTTTACTAAAAATCAAATATCACCCTAAAGTTCGGAGAAGTAGTTAATTTATACAATACATGAAATTCCTTGACCAGATCTCTTTCGGGGACTGTAGTGATTAAATGTGGGGTCAAATTGTCGGCAAACAAACTAAAAAATCCTACACAACTACTGATCCGTTGCCTACAGAGCCGAAGAGAGAAACGTCTCCAAATTTAAGGACTCGTGACGAAGCGTCCAGATCATTGCCAACCTTTTAATGATGGAGGCCTCCCCTCCCTCTTTTGACATTTTCTCTCCATCCTCCCTTGCTCACTTTCAAATTGAGAAGTAGATCGAGCCTCAAATTTTCATTTGTTAACTTTGCTTTTTTTTTTTTTAACACTAAAATTTGGAAGTCTTCAGGGTAAATTACGGATTGGTCGGTCGGTCATCTATGCCTTTGATAACATTTAATTATGCTCTTCAACACGTTTATTAGCAAATATCATCCCCGCGATGAGAGGGGGTTATCTGCAATCTATCCTTCTGAAATGTCTACCCCAAGGATGATAAATGTTAATAAAAGAGTTGAAAAAAGATATGTCCTACTAAGAATGATAATTGAAAGAATAACATTTGCATTTCAACATAATTTGGAAAGGGAAAATTTGTAAAATAGTCCGTTTTTGCTAATTATTTAGCAAAATAGACCGTTTTGCTAAATAATTAGCAAAATAGACCTCTTTTTGGTCAACAGGCCAAAAAGAGGTCTATTTTGCAAAACAGCTCAGAAAACATACAAGACTAGTAGTCCCGTATGTTTTAATCATGGATTAGTGAACTCAGAAAATTTCACAAAATATTGAGATGAACTCAGAAAACATACGGGGCTACTAGTCCCGTATGTTTTTGTTAATCCGTGATTAAATTAGCTCTAAACATACGGGACTAGTAGTCCCGTATGTTTTCTGAGTCTTGTTTTTCAAAATCGACCTATTTTTTTTAAAAGAGGTCTATTTTGCTAATTATTTAGCAAAACGGTCTATTTTGCTAAATAATTAGCAAAAACAGACTATTTTGTAAATTTTTCCAATTTGGAAATGAGAGGACATATAATAGTTTCTGTGTTTGAAATAAAATATAAAAAAAATCTAAGATTGGTTTATGTCATCGTGTGTGTGGTTTCTTAATTTATTGCCAAACGAAAAAGACTTAGAAAGATCAACCTTCATGCA